GACTGGCTGCTGTACAATTACTGCTAGGAACATAAGAACTGTCACACTTGACCAGAGCAGAGAGGACCATTTAGTCTATTATCCCGTCTCTGAGAGTGGCCAATACCAGATACTCCATAAGAAGGTTCCAGGAACCCCGAATGGACAATTGTGGAACAACAGAAGTTTCTTCCTAACAAATTATTAGATTTCAAGGCCAGCAGCAACCACAATAATCATCTACTAGTCTGGCTTTCAGCATAACACCTGGCCAGAAAATTCCATTCAATAATTCCTGCTGTGGAGGAAATTATTCATCCATAATTGGTAAGGAGCAACTCATTATCAAACCAAGTAGTTTGTGGCTGAACTAAGAAGAGCAGATGTTTTAGAAGGAAATCCAATTGCAATTTAAAGACCCCAAATAATGATGAATTTACCAATTCACTTCGGAAGCTGTTCCAGGTCAGTTACCCTGACTGTAAAAGCTGAATTTTATTTTCAAATAAAAATAAATTTAACTTCAATTTCCAGACATTGGATCTTGTTCTACATTTGTTAGATAGGAGAGGCCTCTTGAGTCTAGCAGTTATTTTCTTCCTTAGTAGTTATAGACTATGATCAACCTTCTCTTTGTTAAGTAAATGCATTGAGCTCCAAGTCTCTCAGTATAAAGCAGGTTTTTTCAAACCTTGAATCATTCTTGCAGATCTTCCCTGAAACATCTCCAATTTTCCAACACACTTTTTTTAAACTATGGACACCAAAACTGGACACAATATCCCAGTAATGATCTCACCATTGGCATATACAGAAGTAATATCTTCCTAATCCTCCTTGATACTTCTTTGTTTATACATCTCAGCATAGGCGCCGACTTTCCCTCTGCCCGGTGGGTGCTAGACCCCCTCTGCCCCCAGCCCTGCCCCCATTCCACCCCTTCCATGAGGCCCCACCCCTGCCTCTTCCCACCCCTGCCCTGCCCCCATTCAACCCCCTTCCCCAAAGTTCCCGCCCCAACTCCCATGGAGTCAGAGCCTATGCATCTAGGATCATGTTAGACCTTCCCCAGACCCCACGTTCAACCACTTACTATCTTAGAGTGTGTCAGAGACTGATAGCAAGTTAAGGGTATGGGATGTGAAAATGGGATAAAAATTGGGGAAAAGATACTTTTTATCTGTTATGGAATGTTGGGTTGGCCATATTTACCATAGTTAATAGAAAGTCTCTCTTGAGTTGCTGGAACAGTCCCCAAGGGATGCAGCTAAACCGTAGTCCCAGAAGGAAGATTTTCTACGGTTAACGAGGAAATAAAAGGATTAAATAAAATAAAACTAGAGACGTTGATTGAAATGTGTAGAGATAAAAATCATCAATAACAGCATTTCTGGCCCAAACTCTCTGCAGTCACCCCAGCCCAGGACCCCCTCTGCTCTCCCTGCCCATGTCCTTTCTCAACTGCTGGCCTGAGACCGTGGCTGGATGGGGAAGTGGCTCCCTCTAGTGTCCCCAGGGCAACACGCCTCTCTCTTCCCATCCCCTCTGACTATTGCTATCTCTGTCCCTGATATTTTAGTGTCACTCTCTTTTCCGTGTCTCTCCCCAGAGGCCACCCCTCATGGTCATCTGCACCAAATAGCCCCTGCCATCGCACCACCCAGTAATCCTCTTTCCCTGGAGCCTCACCACAATGTACCTCCCAAAAAACAGAATCATTGGCAAATCCCCATATGTCCCTTGGCCCCATTCTCCTGGGTGGTTAATAAATACCCTGGACAGCACTTAGTGCCTTGTGGACACCCTGACTCCCTTCAGTGAATGAGCCCCTGCCTGAACCCAGAGAGGACACCCCAGCTCTCACCCTGGCTCCTGCAGCACCAGCGCAGAGCTGTTCCTAGAGAGTAAATGAGAGACCCTGGGGGGGTTGGGACTCAGTCCTCCCCACCCTGAGCCTTGCTCCCCTTTATCCCAGTCTCTTCTACTCTGGGGGTCTCCCCTGGTCAGTAGCATGAGTGTTACTGGGGCTGTGTGACCCAGGGACTTCTTGGTGCCAACTGGCAGAGGACACAGGGGTGCATTAGGATTTCCGGGATCCCCTGGGCCTGGTATCTACATACTAGTTCACCAAAGCGTGTCATGCCAGGCCTCTACTGAAAGCCTGTGTCACACTGGTCATCTTAATCATTGCAAAATGTATGTACAGATACCATGTAAGGAGTTATGTATATAGACTGAAACTTATATTCTTAAGGTCTGTGACTTGAAACTGGTGAGAAAAGGTGAAAAACAGGTTTCTTTCAGACAAAAGATGTTTATCGGTCTATCTACAGGTACGCTGAGTATTGTATGGTTCACAATGGGCACCATTTACAGTCTGAGCAAAACGTTAATCAAGTGCTCACAGAGTGTCCTGGACAGGAAAAGACAAGCAGCGGGAGTTGTCCTACAAGTGCACACAATGGAGTTTTGGACGATAACTGTAGATAAAGAGACAAACTCTGCATCTT